GATCATTTTGATAACAAAAAGTATATTGTTCTTTAATGCTTTCAATCCAAATTTGGTTCATATTTAAAAAGTTTGGCAGGCATTCTATAGGTATCATTGGATGCCATAAAAAATGAACTTGAACAAGCTGAAGAATTTTTTTACGAAAGTTTTTTTTGCAAAAAACTTTATCCTTTTCATTTAGCAATTGTTCCTGATTTGTGCGATCAATCATTGCTTGACTTCGTCTATCTGGTTGCCATGTAGGATTGATAATTGAGCAAAGCGAATGTGCATTATAAGAATCATAATAATTGTGCGTAATTCTAGTGCTTGTAAGTTTTTTTTTAATTACACGAATTACGTGCCAATAACATAACTGAATCTTAGCTTCAGTCCAAATTCTACTTGCAGCTGTAAGTTGTCCGTGATCTTTATCTGTTAAAATTGTTTTAATATCGTGAATTCCATTCATTTTTAAATACTGAAACCATTTAGTAATTGCATATGTTTTTCCATGCGGATATCGTGGATCAAGAAAAAATATAATAATAAAAACCCTGACTTATCTATTTAACATATGGGCTAGGTGCTGGAAAAAGAGACCAAATTGACAATTTTTTTAAAAGACTTTTTTTTTTTACATAAATCAATTTAGAATCTAATTAAGATCATTTTTTTTACTTAAGATATAAAAGTAGTTATATTAATAAAATTTTGTAGTATAGCTCTTTAAAGTTTGTATTTTCTTATGATTTATTATAAGATTTATAACATAAAAATTGATTTTCTGAAGATTTTTTTTTGTTAATTTGGGCCCTTTTTCTGGCACCTGGCCCATATATATCTGCTTTCGCTAAAATTTGGCTAAAGGCAAATTAATATTTAAGCATATATGTATATAAAATATGGCTTATTAACTTTAAAATAAAATGGCCAAAAAGTTGTAAAATTTTTGATTAAAGCCCATATGAACTTATTTTGTTTAAAATGTTTATTTTTAAATAGTTATGCAAATAAGCAATTTACAAATTATGACTTTTAAAATTTATGACTAATATAAATAAATTTCTGATATTATAAAATGAATTAAAAATATTAAATTTATTTACAAAAATAAAATATATGCAAAAAAAATAAAATCAAATAAAAATTATAATTTAAAAAATATACAAGTTAAAATAAAAGAAATATATAATAACAGTATGATATTAATGACTCTATATTTATTAGAGCTTTTATTCTGTCTTTCAATGATTTCGATTCGTCGAAACATCTTTTCATTACATTGAGTTGATTCAATTTGTTTACTCTTGACAAATTGAAACAAATCTAAACTCAAATTCAGTTCATCTGTAAAGATAAGATTGTATTCTGATGATTTCAATCTATCTATTGATTTCCGAGTAAAGTTATTTATTGATGGAGCTACTAAGATACCGATGGTTTCAATTTTACCAAATCGTGATAATACTCCTTCAAATTCACGCACAATCTTAGGCCTAATTTTATCACAATCCTTATAAAATAAGAAAACATTTAATATTATAAATAAATTTAAAATTGATTAAATTAAATACTTTCGTGGTGGGATAGTAATGATCATTAATTAATTTTTTAATTATTACTATTACCTACACTAAGTAATTAGACTTGAATTAGACATCCCAACATACTTTACATTGAACGATTATTGTATATCCTCCCCAACCTCCTATCCAATCGATACCTCCATCGCCTGGTACGTGTCTACTAGATTAAAGAAAATAAAAAATTGAGAATTTATCTTTATTATTGTCAAGAATTAAGAAGAACGTTCATAATCATATTTGAACATATGATTACAGCCACGAAAAGCTTTCAATTCTCGATTCATATATCCTATTCACCACAGCTCTAGAGCAACTCCATAAATGACTTTTCGATAACATAAAAAGAACGTTCATAACCATGTTGACCACATGGATTATGGCTACGATGAGCTTTCATTCTCATGATTTACATCTATTGGCAGCGCAACTTCAGATACATAACAACTAGACAATGACCCAGTGAATACTCACTCAAGTCTACGTAATTCTATATTCATATTCATAAAAATTTGTCTAATTCTATCTTCAAAATCTTTGCTATTCTTGCACGGCAGCTTATCTCTTTCTTCAACGTACACATACTCTAATTCCGTCTCACCTTTTTGAATTTCAAAACGATAGTTAATGGAAGACACGGAAGACATTTTTTAAATTAAAAAAACAACCAAAAGTATTTTTATACTTAATATCGTTTACCCCTTTTTTCTTTGTATTATTTCATTAAAAACAAGTCTCAAGCATGAATAAAATCGAAATATAATAAAAAACAAGTTATACAATCTACTTTTTTTAGCATGATAGACAATCTTTGTTATACGAACTTTCCGGATTTGAAAATCGTGACTCAGAGCCAAGTCGTCATCAATCATATGAAATTAAATGCTTGCACGTGATAATTGACCAGTTACATTTATTATAATCGATAACGGTCTTTAAAACTTTTATTTTACTAGATCGAAGATATCTCGAGCATTCTACATAGAATTCACCAGCATCATTTTTTATTAACATAAATTTCAATTCTTTGTTAATTATTCTGACTGTTTTCTAAATGTCACCTCAAATTCTTAGATGACTGTTTTTCGAGAGTTATAAAGTCGTAAAGTAAACTAATATTAGTATGTTTTATGTGCAAAGAAGTAAATTTTGTTACACATAGTTTGCTTAGCAGCTCATAGATTAATACTATGTATAACAAAGTTTAGGAATCTGTATAAGAAACTTATCTATTAAACTTTATAAGAGTAAATCTATTTGCACCAGCGGCTAGTTACCAAGCAAATTAGATTGCATGATTAACCAGCTTGGGGTTGAGTGTGGAAAAGCATTTGCAAATTTGCTTTGTGAAATAATAGATTAACATCTTTATGAACTATAATTTATTTTAATTCCAACACATTTCTATACTATGTTGAACCTTTAGACGAGAAATAAAAGCGTTAGCAGGTGCCATTTGTGAAACATCAATGCAAAACAATGGATAATATTAAAAGACAAAGTTAAAATTTTAATTCAAGCATCCATATCAAAAACTGAACAAATAAAATGTACTACAATCCTGCATTCGAAAAGTAATGAATCTTAAGTTCATCTACTAAATACTGTACTTGAATCAAAAATTTTAAATATGATGAGAAATGGATTCTATACCTAATAAAACTATCTAATGTAATTTAAACTAGAAATCCAACCTAAATTAACAGTACAAAAGACAAATATATAAGTGCTAATATTAAACAAACAAGTAGGTTTATTAAGAGATCTTGACAGAATAAACGAAGACAATGTGACCATTGTTTACAAAAGTACCAAATTTTACAAGGTTAATAATCGTTACTAAAACTAAAAATAGACTACAGCAAATGAAATTAATAAACAAATAAAGTACGTGTTTAATAATATCACAAGATCCCAATTGGGCAGAGTTAAAAATAGAAAACTTGGCTTCAAATTGAACTGAAAAATATAAAATAATTAATACTTGAAAAATGTAAGGCCAGACCAATTTAATTCAGTGGTTTACATTACATCTTCACTTCAAAAGAGGGGGGTTTGTGGAGGGTTTATATAGTAAAATTTTCAAAAAATTTTTCTCTGAAAATTTTTTTCCGAAATGTTCCATATAATATAAAAATTTTCCAAAATAGCCCGTTTTCTTATGCTATTATCTAAAAAATTTTTTACTATGATAGAGAGTGGGGAGCAAACGGGAGGGGGGGGTAACGTAAACCACCGAATTAAATTGGTCTGGCATAATCAGAAATAGATATAGAGAATTTTTTAAAATTTAATGCTATATTTACCATATAAACAAAGCCATCTGACATAGTTCATATAAGAAAATAAATTCGTGTTAATCGATAAATGACAAATACTAATCGAAATTAAGCTCATTATTGCACAATAAAGTAAGTATTGCAGAAAAGCAAAAGATTAAAAAATTTAATTGGCAGACATTAATCACATCTCTGCGGCTGTAAAATTACTAAAAGTGGTTAGTATAATATTAAATCAAACCAAATACAACAACAAAATAGATTTTACAGATCATCTGAGAAAGAAATTATTTCAATCAAAGGTCCAACTGAAAGTCCTAGCATGAAGGCTAATGCCTAAAAATACGAATCTAAATATTTCAGAAGCTGAAAATTTTAGAAATAATAGTATTATTAAAGAAATTAAACATACAAATAACAAATAGTAACGTAATGTTCTATTGTAATGTGTCTTGATGGCGATAATGCGCATTAACCAGAGACTTACTAAAGGTGGAATATAACTTCCCTAAAGTAATTAAATAATAATTTTTAAGTAATAATTTCATATCAATACGATTTAAAAAAATAAATTTGGTATAAATATACTTTAATAAGGTATAAGCCAGTATAAGCTCCAGAAGCAGCCAAAAAACAAAAGCTTCTGAAAGTTAGGTAAACCATGTTCAAATAATGTTGAACAGGCTTGTTTAGGTTATTTACATTCACAAAGGCACCAGAAACTCGACTAAGATTTTGTAAATTCATTATTTTATTTTGAATTACTGAACAAAATGGCTTGTTTTATAATTTTTTTACCATCACCAAATTTTTTAGAATAGCAAAATTTATATAATTAGTATATTAAACGTGTTTTACTAATCTATATATGGTACCTTAATTAAAACTGCAATAATACAGTATATAATAACTAAATGGTTATCGTATATATAATTAAATGGTATCATATATAAAAACTAACTGGTTATCAATCTGCTTTTTGATCAATCTAAAAAATTTAAATATATATACTAGAACTCTATTTACATACTGTTATATTTTAATTGGATAATGACAAGTTTATTGTATCACTATTATTCATATAGATTATCAAAAACTAACAACTAATAACGATAGTATTATCAAATGCACGCGTTCTATATCGATACCGTATTAAAAGTTATGTAATATATTAAATAAATTATGCAGTATATATTTGTTCACTAATAACTTTGATGTAAGTTCTTTCAAAAAAATTATATATCAAAAATGTATTCATTTTAAGATCACGTGTAAACCTTTTTAAATAAAGAGAAAAC